CGCGGGGCAGCCGGGCGCGCGCTCTGCTCGTCCTCCTGCGGGCCGGGATGGGCTCTGATTGAAGCGGGACCAGAAGGGGTGTCTGATCTCAGGCGACCCGCGGCTCCGGGGATCCCCTTCTCCCGCCCGGAAGGGAAGCCTTTCCCATCGCCTCCCGCTCTGCTGTCAAACAAGAGGGTCCCACTTTGAGACCCCTTAAATTCGAGTGACTTTTAAAAACGTGTTCATAAATGAAGTGGAACCCGCAGAGGCCCAAGATCTCACGCATCTCTGCTCACCCTCGATGTGGGGACCACACGCCACCGCCGCTGCCGCGCCTCTGGAAAGAGGCCTCTCCAAACTCCCGTCGGCTGGGATTCTTGGAGTAGTTTTGCTTTTGCAGCAAGTGGGGATGGATTTATCCTCAGCCACCCACATCCTAAATCCGATAAGATCAACAACAGACCTTTGGAGAAAGCACAGGCTCTGCTCTCACCAGCTCTGAAGTCACCACCTCCCAAGTCTCCAAGGGAAGTTAGCACTGTGACCGCAGGTATCAGAATATGTGCTTGAAAGGACAAGTCGTGGTCAGTATAGTAACCATTGATCCATAGTGTTAGAAGACCAAGGCTGTTCACCTCTATGAATAGACGCAGACAAGGTGGGAACCGATGTACCTCAGAATAGGTGTTCCATGCTGAGGAGCCCTGGATTTGAGGCACGCTCTGCTTCTGCACCATGCTCACGGCACACTCGTACCCTGATACTGTATGTGTTTCGGCACATACAGTAACTCCTTTAGGAAAGATATTTAGTGACTTGAGTCAGCTTTTCCTATTGACAGTTTTTTGTCCCTAAATGTACTTAAGGTTCTTTATGTACTTCCCTTTCTTTTAAAGCAATTTCTGTGGTACTGTACACATGTCCTGTTTTATATAAAATGCAGACTGGTTTCATATATAAATATATGATTCCAGACTTTAAAACATATCAGTAGCACTTATTGTGGTATAGTGCCAAATTTAAGCCAAGAACTACCTGATTTCCTTAATAGCCCTCTAAGCCTTAGTTGATGCTTGGGGTAAGTTAGGATAGCGAGTTCCTACCTCGTAGGACTGTTGTGAGGATTCAAAGGGTTAATCTCTCTGAAGATGAGCATAGCAGGGTATTTGTTGGGGTAAGAACACTCTTGAGTTCATGTTTCTTGGGAATCTGTTAAATTTAGCATTAAGCTACACAAAAGAAAATTAAGAAAGTGTGTGGTTTGAATGTCCCCACTGAATCTCCTGTTGAAATTTAATTTCCTTTATGAGGTCATAAGAGGTGGGACATTTAAGAGGTGACTAGGTCATTAATGGATTAAGTCACTGGAGAGTTAATGAATTAATGGTTTAATGGGTTATTGTGAGAGTGAACCTGTCAAAAAAGCTTATATTCACAGATTCACCGCGTGATGCCAGGACTCAGCAGGGTGGCCCTTACCAGATGCTGCCCCTTTTCTTGATTTTCAACATCTCAGCCTCCAGAACTGTGAGTTCAGCAAATCTTTACTCTTTATAAATTATCCAGTCTGTGGTTTACACTTATAGCAACATGAAACAGACTAATACAGAAAGTAAAATACACATTCCTCTTCATTTCACTATTGGAAGCCAAAAATAAGTGGTGTTCTGAATTGTCCACTGTTTTAATCCCTCCTAAGGCCAGTGATTAGTTGTGGTGAATGCCCCAGGCTCATCTCCCTTCAAACCCTAACATTTCTCTCAATAAACATAAAACCCAAATAGAATTTTATCAATGATAGTTCTTTGGTTTTATTTTTTTCTTGGTACAGGGAGTCAAACTCAGGACCCTGTGCTTGCGAGGCAGGGGCTTGTGCTGCTGAGCTATATCGCAAGCCCAATTTTTTGGTTTTAATATGTGGTCTATGGTCATGCAGGAGGTAAATGTAAGGGGAAACTAGGTGAAATGCATATGAAAACATTTTTATGGGTTTTTTCCTTTTAACTTAATTGTAAGTTGAAATTATTTCAAACTGAAAAGTTTAAAAGATTATAGATGAAAACTATCAGAGCTTGAAATTCTAAAACAAATCCTTTGTTCCTTTGTGTGATGCTAAATTATAGCTTAAAATAAAGGTGTTGAATATACTAGTAGGCAGAGATCTTAATGGTAAAACCTTCTCAGTCTTGCACATTTTGATATGAATGAAGTAATAAAGAAAAAAATGCTTGAAGCTAGGCCACGAAAGTTATAGTGATTTTGGTAAAGAGAGAGGAAGGAAGGAAGGAAAAGGATGTTGAGACTGGCAAAACTAAGATACATTTTCCAAAGCACAATGTTGTTAAATACAGATGGCCTTACCATGGCTTACTATGTATTGACTTTTAATTTTTGACTTTGCAGTGGTGTGGCTAGCAATATATGGTGTGGCTAGCAATATATGGTATAATACTCTTATAACTAGGCAATAACTGGGAATGACAGAAGTGTGTCACAATTGATACTCTGCAGTGTACTGTGTTGCTAAGCTATGGAGTCCAGTAGGTAGGCTAGGAGTGCTAAATGCTTTTGAAACTTAAGATATGTTTAATTTATACCAAGTTAATCAGGCCATGAACCCTTTGTAAGTCAAGGACCATCTGTACGTACATTTGCCTTTCAATTCATAACTACTCATTCTGAGCCTCTACTAGTTTACTGGTACTTCAGAACTCCCCACTTATAACAATGACTTGTTCAGAGGGCCAGAGGGACCTTCCTGCCTCCTCAAAGAATTCCCACAGCAACCTTGTGAAATAGGTATCTGTCTCCCTTTACATATGAGTAAGCTGTGCCTCAGAGAGTACAGGTAACCTAACCCAAGATCACTCCACTTATAAATGTGTACATCCAGATTATTATGAGGCTAATTCCCTTGCTCCAATAATCATGCCCTATTGTCTCTTGGCTTTACTTCCTGTGTTTGTTCCACCTGAGCTTCTGCCGGTGTGAATGACATGAACTGACTAATACACAGATTTCTTGAGGCCAAAAAACAAAAGAAAAAAATACCATCATTTACCTTTGTAAAGAATTGTTGGTGCTCAGGCAGGTCTGGTTGAAGGCTCTATCCACTCGGGGTCTCGTTGGAGCTAATGCAGAAAGGAAATGGAGTGCTGTGTGAGACCACCGGGCCAGGCAGGGGGAAGCTGTGCAGTCAGGACATGTAGGGAGGAAAGTATCTGCAGGCTGCTCTGCATTCTTGGGTGCTCAGCATATATTTAACCAGAACTAAAGGGACTAAGTTCTTGAGAACTGAATATCTTATGTATTTGTACCATATCTGATTCCAAAAAAAGTTTGAAGACAGTAAGAATATGATAATACCTAAACTTTATTGTGGAATAGCAAAGCTAGTATATGTTTTCACTCTCTACCATTTTCTTTCCTTACTAAAAATATATCTTCTCATTCCAAACAATTCATATATTCATAAGCACAAAATATAGAAAGTAAAAGTTGCCTGTAATCCCATTCTCCAGAGAGAACCACTATCAGTGGTAGGATGCACACTCTTCTCCATGTTGTTTTTTCTGTGAATTCTTATTTTTTTTTAAATGTCAACAAATATTTAATGGAAGCAGGTAAATAGGATCAGCCAGCATCTTCTGTAATGCACTGTGCTAGTGTTCTGTTGCTGTGTAATAAATTACCATAAATCTACACATTCAAATCTATACACTCACACTTACTATTTCAAGGCTCTTTGCAAGTCTGAACATGGTATTATTGGGCTTTCTGTTCAAGATACTACATGCCGGGGTGTTCTTGAGTACAGGCATGGTGGGGGAGTCCACTTACAACATCATTCAGGTCACTGGCAGCATTGACTTTCTTTTAGTGTGGGATTTGAGGTACCTGGGTTTTTGTTGACTATTAGCTGGGAGGCTGCTCTCCACTCTGAGCGGCCACCACATTCCTGACCACATGGCTTTTGTCCCGCTTCAAAACCAGCAGTGGAGAATCTGCTCATACTCAATCCCTTTCATACTTCTAGTCTCTTTTGCCAAGAGAAGCCTGATCCCTTGTAAGACCTCAGCTGATGACCTTAACCCCACTGAAGATAATCTCCCTATCTTAATCCTAATGATATCATCCTTTCACAGCAGCAAGTGGGTTAGGACTTGGCTGAACAACTAGGAGAAAGTGTGTGTACATTAAGGGATGAGGATCTTACTATTTTATCCTCCAGGTAGCAAAGTTTATTTTCCCATTTCTCTACCTTCTTCATTTTTAAAGGTAACATAGTCTTCACTCTCTGATGTACCATAATTCAGCCAAATCTCGAGCAGTGGATATTTATGATACTTTCAATGATTGCCTTTTAAAACACATGGTAAGCACTCATGCTCCTGAATGATCATGTGCATATGAAACTAGCGTTCTAATTTATAGAAATTAGTAACTACCACTAGCCAAGTAGAACTGTGAGGTCAGAAGGATTGGTACCTTTCAGTAGATATTGCCAAATTACTTTCCAAAATGTATCAATTCATACTTCTAATGGCTGTCTATAAGAACCAAAATGGTTCATTCATTTCTTTTTTTTTTGAACCGAGAATCGAACTCAGGATTCAAGCTTGCCAGGCAGGTGCTGTGCCACTGAGCTATAGCCCCATCCCTAAATAGCTAATTCGTGTAAACAAATTCCTTTTACAGACTGTTTCATCAGGAGGCCATATATACACTGCTTAGGTGCATTGATCTCAGTCAGATTGACTGGTGAATAATTTTAGCTCTTTGATTTCCAGACTGTGTGACCTGGTTCTGTATCTCCGAAACTGTGATGATAATGGTAGCTTTTGTATTAGTTATCCATTGCTCTGTAACAAATTACTCTAAAATGTAATGACTTAAAATACAGACATTTATTATCTCATAGCTTCTGTGGGTTAGGAATCATTAGTTTAGTTGAGTGCTTTGGTTCATGTTCTCTCACCTGGCTGCAGTCAAAGTGCAGTCATCTTGAGGTGTGACTGCAGGAGGAGGATCCCCTTCCTAGTTCACTCACATAGCTGTTGGCTGAAGACCTGGATTCCTTGCCACATGGGCATCTCGAGCGGGGGTGGGGGGGTGGGGGGCAGCTTACAACATGGCAACTGTTTTCTCTCAGAGTAAGTGAGCAAGAGGGGTCATCCACAATGGAAGCCACTCTCTTTTTGTAACCTAGTCTTTTTTTTTTTTTTTTTTTTTTAGAGACAAGGTTTCACTATGTAGCCCAGGCTGGCCTCAAACTCATGGCAATCCTCCTGCCTCAGCCTCCTGAGTGCTGGGATTATAGGCATGTGCCACCACACCTGGCTGTAACCTAATCTTGAAAGTGACATCCTATCATTGTGCCATATTCTACTTGCTGGAAGAAGTCAGCAAATCCAGCCCCCACTTAAGATAAGGCTATTGTACAAGGGCATCAATATTAATAAGCACTGGTCACTAGGATCATTTTAGAGGCTGTCCACAATGCTCCTCATGGAAGTGTTCGGTTCAAGTGAGTTACTGCAGTAAAATAGTACACAGTGTCTAACTTTAATAAGCACTCATGAAAAGTTTATTGTTAGTAGTAATAGTTTTTGCTATTACCATCATTTTCTCTGTCATCTGTTACACTCATTTTCCTGTTTGACTCAGTATCACATTAAGAACCAAAGAATGCATTTAAAATAAAGATACTATTTGCACTATGTAGAAGGCACTTTCTACCAGGAAACAGAAACTTGCCAAATGAAGTAATATAGGAAAGTTTAAAAGAGGAATTGCTTACAAAGGTGCTTAGGAGAAGGAGCTAGGAATGGGACCATGCTCCAGAACCAGATCAGCAGAGCAGTAGTGACCACTACTACCACTATGTGTGGGAGAAGAAATTAATCAGGACTGAGAGAGGGGGTCTAGGAAGGGCTCTGGCAGAAGTTGTGACCTTTTCTTTTGGGATGAGGTCTTGCCATGTAGGTCAGACTGGCCTTGAACCTGCTATATAGCCTCAAACTATAAGCTAGCCTCAAACTCGCAGTGAGCTTCCTGGCTCGGCCACCTGAGTGCTGGGGTTATAGATGTGCACCACCACTCTGCTAGGAGCCGTGACTTTTAGCAGAATAATGTCAGACCACAGTGACCCAGCAGGGTAAGGGCTGAGCAAGGTGGAGAATGGTGACTGTGGACTGGATGGGTGGGTGGAAAATGTACAGCATGGGCAGTCACAGCTGTTCACTAGTGGGACATTTCCTGGGATGTGACACCATGTTTCTTCAAATAAAGGGGAACTGAAAGGCAGTTAATCCTGGCCTTCCAAGATAGGGCTGGGTGGGGGGGCACCAGAGGACACACTTTCAGAAGCATTGATCTCTTTTGGTTCACAAGACCGCTAGGGGAGTTTACATTTCAACCAGAGAGGAAGGACTAGGATTTTAACTCAAAGCTGGCAGACTAGTCCAATAGGAGCGCCTCAGGGAGCTCATGTGAGCTACAGGTTTGATTTTAACCTGGGGGCGGGATATAATGACGCGAAAGGCACTCATTCTTCTGTGTCTTCTGATTGTACAGCCTTTACAGGTGCAAGTCTCTCGGTCCTTCTTTTCAATCCTGGCCTTCCTTCCAGCCGTCACGCTTCAGTGAAAGGAGTCACTGGTGAGGAGGTAATACGCTATTTTTCTGATTGTACAGGCTTCCCATGAGGGAACCCAAGGAAACCCTCACGGCATATCAAAACTACAAGATTTCCCAAACATCACTCTCAACCCATCACAGGGACCTGGGAGCTGTACTCTAGGGAGAGAAGGCAGGCAGCCGCAAGGCCAGAAGAAGTGGGAGTTTAATACAATGACCAAGAAAGGGGGTGAGCCAAGCAGACTCAAGGAGGGGTCTCTAACAGGCAGTCCTCATTGAAATCTCAGCTAGAGTTTTATTTTCTTGTTAATGCTGGGGATCCAGCCCTCTGAGCTACATCCCCAGCCCTGTTTCTTTTCTCTTCCTTTTTCTTTTTTGCTTGTTGTTGTTTGTGTATTGAGACAAGATCTCACCATGTAGTTCAGACTAGCTTTTGACTCACTATGTAGGCCTAGACTGGCCTCAAACTTGCGGGCAGTCCTCTTGCCTTTGCCTCTCAAATGCTGGGATTACAGGCATGCGCCCCCACGTCCAACTTTTGTTTTCTATTTTGAGACAAATCTTGTTAAATTGCCCAGGCTGATCATGAATTTATAATCTTCTTGACTCTGCCTTCTGAGTAACTAGGATTGTAGATGTCCTGGCTTCCCTGTTTCTGAATAGTTATTTCCAAGCTCTAAACCTGTAAAAGCATAGGTCATTGCAAAGGCCAGGGTAGATTGAATTTGTTTACATTATTAATTTATTATGGCAATTGATATTTGTTTTTAAAATGCTTTGTGAACAGGCTATTAAAATATGAGTGATCTGGAGACAACTCTTTAAAAGGTGAAGAGGGCACTTGCTAAAATATCCCAGGAGTATTTTGAAGAGTTAGGGATGATAGTAATGTTACAGGATGAAGAGGACATCGTAGGAAGACTGTTGACCAGTGCTGACTTAAATGAACTCATCCTCAGGAAGGCCCGTGACATGAATATTAACAGTCCCTCCTGGTGCACACTGAAGAGATAAAAAATTAAACCCATAAATAAACACTAGGCAGCCTCTTTTTTAGACAATCGCACATTTCAATGTAAATATATGCACAGGACTAGCAGTCCTTTTACTCTGTTTTTGTTGCAGTTAACTTGACAGTCAGGAGGACAGAATGCCCTTTGTCCTGCTTTTTCCTCGTGTTAATTTACTTTCCTCATTTTCAGTGATTTTTACCAGCTTCACCAGGTCAGGGAAAACACAAGGAGATTGTTCTGGTTCATTTTTGAGATGTCAGTCAGGTGTGACCTGCGGAGAAATAGGAGGCGCTCAGGAAAGCAGAGTTTATTATACTCACAGCTCCTAGAGACAGGAGAGCCTGCCTGCCGTGCAGGGCGGGGCGGGAAAGCACGAGGGAGGTCAGAAGGCAGGAGGGACCAGGGGAGGGACGAGCTAGGCCTGAGCCATGCTTAGAGTTTCAGCAGGAGAGGCTGGGCAGGGCAGGGTGGGCAGTTTAGGATTGGCTTGTCTGCCTAATTGAAGAGGATTCTAAATTATAGGAGTGGCCCCAGGCCCTGGATGACTAAGGTCAAGGGAATTGCCTCCCCAGTATATGAGGCAGATAGAGAAGGTTTGGTTCATTAACACATCAGAAGCCTGGGCTGGGTGCGCGCTCCTGACAGAAGCTTGCCTAGCATTTCAGGCCCTGGGTTCCATTCCCCCGGCCCCCAGATCATAAGACTCATTTTGTCATGAAAGCACTGAAACATAAGTCTGTGGGACCTACATTGATTCTTTAGAATATTTCTATTGGTGAACTATTAATTTTAATTTTATGAGTTTTATTATACCAAACCATGCTTACTTAACAAGAGAAAAATCACAAGAATAAAGTATTGAGTTTTTAATACTTATTGAGTGTTTATAAAAAAAATCAAAATTTTCAACATTGACTGTTTTTTTGTTATACAAAGTCTAAAAAACAACATCAGAAATAAATTCCTATATGAACAATGAAAATATCAGTAGCACTCTACAAAAAAAAAATCTTTACTTCATTTATCACACTAAAGCAGTCCGCACACGTGACAGCAGCATGTTCCATACACACACATTGCTTACACTGACAGCACATGTCTTTTGCTTTCCTGGCCTTTTTGTAGGACATACTTGACATCTCAGCAGTCTTACTGTTTTTTCAGGAGTTTTTTATTATGTTATACAGTGTGTAGTTAACAGGAACATAAAATATCAATGATATATTAAGTTTTTAATGTGTACTGTATGTTTAGAAGCGACATCAACATTTCACATTAGCTGTGTACTTGCTAATAAAACCTAAAAAATAATATCAGAGAAGAACTCCTATGTGAACTACAATGAAAATACCAATAGAACTCTACCACAAAAATAAGCTTTGCTTCAACTGTCACACCCAAAGTGACTACCTTCATGCATGACAACTGCATGTTTCATGTACAAGTCTCATTTACACTGGCAGCACATGTGCTTAGCTTTCTTTTCCTATGTGGCAGTCTTGTCACCTCTCTTCTCTTCCAGTTTTGTCAGGAGCTTCCTACTACATTGTACAACATGCACTTAGTAGGGAAGTAAGATGTCAATAAAATAAAATATCAACTATGTAATGCATGCTTAGAATAGATATCAACATTTTCACATCAACTGTTTACTTGTTTACAAAACCTAAAAGATAACATGAAAATAAAAACCTATGTGAACTACAGTGTAAACACAAACAAAAGTTTACCACAGACTTTTGACTCTTGGCTTCAACTGTCACACCTAAAGCAGTTTTCACACATGCCAACTGTGTGTTCCATACATAAGTATTACTTACATTGATAGCATGTATGTTTTGTTTTCCTGTACTTTCTCATAGGGCCCTGTTGACATCTGTAAGGAACGGCGTGAAGTAGAGACCAGCCAAGACCACCAGGCTTGTGCAAAGGAACGTAGTGTGGAATTTGTTGTGCCTAGGTGCAGGCAGACAGACAGTGAAAAGGCCATCTGTAGGGAAAAAAAGGCAAACAGGATTTTTTATAGGGCTTGAAAGAAAGCAAATGACATTAGGCAGGAAGATCTCAGTAAACATCAGTGGTCAGAGTTCTCTGGATGTTTTGTGCCTCAGTGAGTAAAGTCCTTGAAGAGTACAGTGTGAAACTTGGGTGTCTTTAGATGTAGTTCCTGTTCCATCTTATCTCTTTTATGACATCCTGTGTTTCCCAAGGGCACCAGTGCTGAGTTTAGAACAAATATCTCTGCTGGTGGACAGGCTGGGTATTGGGAGAGTCATGTCGGAATTGAGCCTTACATTTCTGTATTTTTGTTATTATAAACAAAAAAGAAAAAGAAGAAGAAAAAGGCAGATGGGCACCGTTTCTCATGACTGCTTCCTGCATGGCACGTGGGCTGAGTGGGCAACCTAGTGGGAAGGAAAACCTTGGGGAACTATTTTATATCGAGATGAGGAGATGAGCAACAACTGCCAATTAGTGATTGGATGTAGTCTTGTAAGAACTGTGACAGGAGTCTGAAAAGGCAAGGCCTGAACCAGAGAAGGAGGGTTATACAGACCAATGGTCCTGTTAAGGATAGGAACCCTGAGGCTCATCTGGAGGATTTGTAAGAGGGGCTGCAGAGAAAGAGAAAGTTAATGTGCTGTATGAGATGGGAGATGGATGGGCGGAAGGAGAGGAAATCAAAGGTCAGGGTCTGGCTGAAGTAGAGGTGAAGAGATGCTGTGTGGAGGAGTGTAAGAGTATAGGAAAGAAGGCATCTTTCAAATACAGGACTGAGTAATGTGTGCTAAATGGGGATAGAAGATAGAAGGCCGTATGGATTGGGCACCACAGGATGGATAGGAAGAACTATCTGGTTGACACTGCGGAGATCTTGTACTAATCTATAAGTGCTATTTTCTTTTTTGGACAGGGAGAATTGGAGTGTTGGAGAGTTAATAGGGACCAGAAGACCATGTTGGAGCAGATGACAAGATAATTGGCTCTAATCCCCTCAGAGTCTGATCAGGGACAGAGTATTGGCACTGGGAGGAGTGGGGTGATCTGGCTTTCATGGGACAGTTAGAGGTGTCTGATTGAGAGCCAGAGAAGAGGAGAAGGTATTTGAGATCCGAGGGTCCAACTATAGGAAGGTAATGAGGCCTTTAGGTGAGGCCTAAGAAGGAGAGGAGAGAAAGGCTGAACTGACAGAAGAGATCCTGTGAGTTGTTAGGTAATATTGATCTAATGGGAAGTAAGTCATGTAGTTAGCTGGCATAGAAAGACCAAAGAACTTTCCAGCTAGGTGATGATCTGGGGTCTTGGTTGTTTACTGAGGTGACTGATGTCGAGCTAGACTTTATTAGACCAGGTGTTACCATCTATCCGTCCCTTGAGGAGTATGTAGGCCTGATTTTTTGTTGTTTATCTTGAGGGCTGGATTTTAACTGGTGCATCTCTGGCCACAGTGGGGGTATAGACCAGGCCAAAGAAACAGTTAAGTAGGTATGAGCCAAATAACAAAATCAACCAGACTATTATGAATATAATCAACAAATATTTTACTAGGAAGATTCAGGAATAGTGTCTTATAAAGAGGATAAAGAGAAGGTCTAGGGAATTTTAGAATCTGACATGGCCCTATCCTGTCATCTAGGATCTTGAATAGCCTTAGAGATATTAGAAGGATGAGGAATGCATACACAGCATTCAGATTTATAATGGCGCAAGTACCCTCTTGTGCTGTTGTTAAAATGTCTAATGTTATCTGATTTTAGAGGACAGTTTGTCTTATTAATTTTTTTTTCAATTTAGGAGAGGGAGAGATTAGTCAAGATATTTTTTACAGTGAATAACTGATATCTTGGAAGGCATATAGACAGATGACAAAAGTTTATGTTTTTTTATTGTACTTTTCTGCTGGGTATTTAAAACCAAGTTAAATTGAGACCTATGCTAATTAAAATTACTTCTCACTGTCTATCAAGGTCAGATGAGCCTCTTTAGGCATCACCCTTGGAGCGATATACAGAGACTCTCAGCTCCTCTGTGTGTCAACTGCCAAGATGGGGCATGGTCTTGCTTGACAGACCTTTTTTCTTGGTGACGTTCATTAGGCACACTATGCGTCTTTGTTGATCTCTATCTTCTAGGGTCCATCAGTCTCCCTGCTTAGGAGACTGAGTAACTCACCAGAGTTGTGGCTTCTGTAGAAAATGTTCTTTCATGCCCTGGGTCTCTGCTGACCTTGGAGGGCAAGGGCCAAAATATTGGCTGTTCTCTTAGCCCAGTTATTTTTTCTTGTTCTGGTCTCTAAACTTTACTTGTTAAACACCCAGAAGAAAAGATTGGTTATATCAGTTTTAGTTAACAGATGTAAAGCATAAGTGTAAATTATTTTTTGATAGCTATTGTCCCCAGTTAAAGGCAAACAGCTGTTGTAAGATTTATAATTCAACCTTTTAGATGGAAGAGCATTTTAATCAAGGGTTTAAAGTTAACTTTTGGTGAGTTGGAGAAAAACTGAGAGGCTGAAGAGAGAGAGCTCACTGACCTGGGAGAGGTCTGACAGAGAGGGAGGAACAGGAGGACCAAGGAGTAAGTAGTCTGGACTGGGTGTGTTTTGGAGTGTCAAGTGGGAGTTGGGAGGGCATGTGACTGTTGAAGAAGTAGGAGACAAGACGACCTGAGCCTTGTGGCCTGGGCCTGCATCGCCAGGAGCAGCAGTGGGCATTTGGGAGGTGGCCCTGGGTGGGTTCAGGCTGGGGCTGGATCAGTTTGTTGTGGGGGCACCAAGGAGGGAAGGGGAAGCACAGTGCAGGCCAACCAGGGGGTGCCATGGCCTGGGACACTGTGGCAGATATGTCCAGGGACATGGCCCGCTGTGCTCAGGGCCCTGCAGCCTAGGGTGGGGCAAGGGGGCTGTCATCGTTTGTGTCTAGATGCCCCCTTCACAGCCTTATGCACTTTTAGATGGGGCTTTTTGGAAGTAGCTAAATCTAGATTTTGTGACTGAGTCACGGTTCAGTGCTGGATTAAGGGTGGGTGATTGCTGGATCAGTCACTGATTGGCTTGGCACTACCCTAACCCCAACAGACTGGATACAGTACAAGAGGCAGAAAGAGGTTTGTCTCCTGTCCTCTCCCTTTTTGCTCTTGTTGCTTTTGCAGTCTTCCACCACCACAAACTGCCCCTTTGCCATGTGCCTCTCTGCTTTGGACTGAAATCAACCTGCCGATTATGGACTGAAACCTCTACAAACTGTGAGCTAAGCTTTCCTCCTTTAATTTTGGGTGTTGGTTATATTGTCTCAGCAATGAGAAAAGTAACTAAGACAGGGGCCTGCTGTGCAAGCTGATATTTTCCTTACCCAGGCTGGGCTCAGGAGGGCTGTGCTCAGAGGGATTGGACTCAGGAGGGCTGGGTGCAGGAGAGCTGGGCTCAAGAGCAAGCCTAGGCTGCAGGCTGCGTGCACAGGCGCTGTGGTCCCCCTGTGCGTATGAGCACCACTTGGATCCTGACTTCCATGGTACCACGTGTACCTGCTATGCTGTGTTGCCAGGGCTGTGAGGTGGGGAAGGATGAGCATGTGGGGGGCAGGCGTTCGGCACTGGAGTCACGCGGCCTGGGACCACTGGCCCAGGACCAGCACACAGACAGGGCAGCTGGCACACATGGCTTCCAGTAGAGCCCCTGGGGGCGTGTCTCAAGGCCAATGTGGGTGGTAGAAGGGAGTTGCATGAGGGAAGAGTCAGGGAGGAATCAGTATGGGAGGGAAGCAGAGGGATTGCCAATGAAAGGGAAAGGAAGGAAAAAAGCAGGACTTCTAACTTATTAGTAGAGAGGGAAAAGTCCAGACCTGAAGCTCAACCCTTGACAGAGACTTAAGAAAGGGCTCTAACAGCATCATTTCAAGGTGACTCTGAGGCAGAGTATACCCGATCATCACCAAAAGAGTTGTCTTTCACCTTCCTTGAGGAGCACAGGTGGAAAAATAGACAAGTGGAGCTTCTCTGCTGCTTACCCTCCCAGGCTGTCAAGGGCTCGCTCCCACTGGGGGCCTCTGGGTATCTGCTGGAGGGCTGCCCCAGCCACGACCCCTCAGTTACCTTTCAGTTTCACTGGTTCCTCTCAGTCAGAGGTTTCTGCTGGCCATTTGTGTCAGTGGGGATTCACCAGGGGTACTGGAGAAATCCCCTGTTTTGAGAGTGGCAGCTGCCCTAAAGGCAATTACTAGCTGGTAGAGTAACCGCTGTTGGTGTTAGTGTTCTATAAGGGACAGATAAAAGCCTGCGCTGAATATAAAGTTTATAAAAAGACCCATTTTACAGAATTTTATCAAAAAGTCCACTAGATGGTGCTTTAACCTTATTTCTCCTTAGCACTGTCTAAAAAAAGATTAAAAACGACAGCAGTCACAAGTAAAACAAGTCTAAATGTAACATAGGTAAAACAGGAATACGAGACCTTACCCACAAGAGTAAAACACCCCTTTAGAGGAACAAAAAGTACGAAAGGTGCAAACAGTGGCAAACAAGAATGACAATTATGATTACCTAATACTATTCAGCAATCAAGAAATAAAGGCAAACTGTCATCTCCTGTTAATTATTTGTTATTCTGCAAAATGGAGAAATTAAAAGTATCCTGCTCTGGTCACTGGGAGCAGTTGTCTATCAGGAAGCTTGGCCATGCCGTGTTACAGAAGATCAGCCATTTGGGCTTCAGATTGGGAGAGGCAGAGGCTCGAGGTTCTGTAGGAAGCAAACTAGGAGGGACGGAGTCGGGTGGCAGACGTACCCATTGGAGTGCAGAGAGAGGTGTGGGAGAGCTACCAGACCTCCAGTGGACGTCTGCAGTCGGGACCCAAAGCCATAAATGTGGGAGAATGCGCAAGGCAAACTTCTTTGCGGTTGATCAGATGCTAAAGGGAAGCAGTCTTCCCGCGGGTGCTTTTCGAGACCAGCACTGGAGTTTAAAAAGCCTGAAAAGCATGAAGAGCCTCTCTCTGATTTTATGGGGGAGAATAAAAGTCCGGCAAGGAAGAAGAAAGTGCAAAAGAGTGTCACCGGATCTGAAATACTCCTTGCTGCATTTGCTAACAGAGCACAAGTTGACCAGCACAGGAACTGTACACAGGAACAAGGCAGAAATTCCAACTGAAATGTCGCAGTTTTAAAACACAGAATTGTATAGTACAAACTTTGGATTTCAAAAAGCTATAACATTGCCCTTGTATATGGCAAACAAACAAACAAATAAACAAAATCAAAACTGGAACTGCTGATATCAGCATTGCATTATGACAGAAATATTGATAGAGAAACCTCAACAAAAGGGAAACCTGACGTGGAAACTTCCAACAAGTGAGTAAAGACATGGATTGCATCCTCTGTCCCCCAGGGAAAGGTACTGAGATGCTGCTATTACATTGAAGTACAAATTTACAGCAGAAAATTAAGGGATGGGCCCGCTGAATCCAGTCTTCTGTTCCAAGGGCTAGGGCAGGAGAAGAGGGAGGGAGAGAGGTAAAGGGAGAGGGAGAAAAGGGTGAGGGACAGAGAAAGAAAACTACATATCAAATGTCTATGCCTACCTGAGCCCTTAGCTATGCTAAGAACTGGCTAGATCCAGAAGAGGTAGTCTGTCCTGGTCAGAAAGGTTTATAAGAATCCAAAACAGAATAGCAAGAAATACAATGTGAGGATGGCAAAAAGTATGACTAGGAGATTGTCTCAGGAAAGTGACTAAGAAAGGAGAAAGATACATTTGCGCTTTAATCTGTGGAATCAAAACAAAGGGGCAGGGATGAACTTCTGAGTGCCATCTACTTCCCTCCTCTCTTTCCAGAGGAAGAAACTGAGGCCCATGGGCGCAGGAGCGCTCATCTGCAGACCCAGCTACTCAGGAATCTGCAGCAAGAGGATCGCTTAAGACCAGGAGTTTGGGGCCAGGCTGGGGAACTTAGCAAGACTGAGTCTCAGACAGAAACTGAGGCCCAGAGGGATTGCATTGCTCATTTCACAATGGCTCTAGAAAAACGTGGAGTGTATGGAAATGGCTCATGTAAATCAAGAGTCCAGAGGAAATGTCAGCCGGACCACATGCACTTCAGGACTGGGTGGCCCCAGCTTGCTGGTTCTGAATGGGCTCCACTGGTGGTGCGTGCCTGTTATGCCAACACTTTGGAGGCTGAGGCAGGAGGATTGTTGCAAGTATGAGGCCAGCCTTAACTGCATAGTGAGAACCTCTCTCAACAAGACAAAAACAAAGCAAAACAACCCCCAAAATAATAGTACTATTCTGCAAAAACACGTACAAATAAAAAATGTAAGCCACTAGAATGGTTACCCATGCTGGGATAAAAGTCAACTAATACAAGCCCACCACACACACACATACACACACTGAAAAGAGATATACTTGCAGGGATCCATGACCACATATCATGGCCCAGCAGAAGGAAAAATGTAACCTCCTGAAATGGGCCTTTAAAAATTACAATTTAAAAATTATAATATACTCTAAAGTACTAATACAGAACTATTCTGGACAAGACGATAGTGTAATGGTTTATGATACTGTTATGGTAAGTGCATTTGTTACACACTTGTCAAAAGTCATAGAATATACAACACAAAGAGTGAGCCCTAATGTAAACTATGGACTTTAGTTAACAATAATGTATACCAATATTGACTTATCAACTGTAACAAGAGTATCCACCAATATGAGATATTAATAGGAGAAATTGGAGAGTGGGTGCAGAGGGGGCATAAAGTATCTCTGTACTTTCTGTCCAATGTTATTTCTGTTAACCTTAATCTGCATCCCAAAGTCCTACAGTTTTTTAAATTTGTTTTTGTTTGCATTTGTGGTACTGGGAATTGAATCCCAGGCTTTCCCATTGAGCTACAGCCCCCACCCTTTTTTTGAGATAGGGTTTTGCCAAGTTGTTAACATTACCCAGGATGGGCTTAAACTTGCAATCTTCCTGCCTCGGCCTCCCAAACTGTGATTATGACATGCACCATCATGTCTGATTTCTTTGCATTTGTTTGTTTGTGACATGGTCTCACTACATAACCTAGGCTGGCCTCAAATACATGATCCTCCTTCCTCACACTCTCAAGTACTGAGATCATAGACATGTGCAACATTGCCTGGCTCATACAGCCTATCTTTTAAAAATTAAAACTTATTCAATCATCATCCTTTTACAAAGAATATTTTCATTTTATTTTTTATACAAGAGAAAACATTCTCATGGCATTAAAACATTTTAAAAATATTGCTTAACTAATTTGTTATAATTTGAATTCTCCTGTATGTTTACAATGTATAAAATGATTATTAGTTATACATGACTACAGTTTATAAGGGAATTAGTATTGCATTGGTCAGCTTTCCTATTGCTGAGGCAAAATACACATACACAATTGAAAGGAAATGGTTTGTTTGGCTCACGGTTGCAGAAGTTGCAGTCCATGGTGAGCTGGCTCCAAAGCAAAAACAAGTTACATAATCCCAAGGTACAATGGCAGAGTAAACGTTCAGTTCTGAAAGGGAGGAATAAGGGGATAGAAAAGAACTGGACAAAGTGAAACCAAAACTAGGTAGGGCAAACATGAAGTCTTATAGTTCCATGTCTGACATCCAGGGATATAGTGCATGATGTGAGCTCCAAAAGGCTGGGCAGACCCACCCATGTGGGTCTTTTTGGTTGTAGATCACATGGCCTGTCTCTTGGGCTGGCTCTAACTCACTGCTTATGTCTTTCCTCAGCATATTTTCTAAGTTCTTGGCATTTACAACTTCATAGGGTCTTCCTGCAGCTTCAGTTTCATTTCCACAACTTCACACATCCCCACTCAGGGCCTCTTTGACTGGCCTCCCAGACTTTGGTTTAAAATATGGATGGAAACCTCCATGATCCTACCATCCTTGAATTCTGCATACCTGAAAAACCAGAACAATGTGGATGATGCCAAGGTCTGCTGCCAGCCCAAGCAATGGCCAGGCTTCCTAGGACAATGGCTATAGCAGCTTCTGAGTGCTTAGATGGCTGAGGACAGTGAAATGAATCCTAGGGACTTCATTTCTCTATCGGGGACCCAGGTGCTTTCTTTTCAAATGAAGGGTTTTCATTTTTGCACACTTGAGCCTGCCACTGTTGAGCTCTTCCTGATTCCTGAGATGCCCTCAAGATATCCCTCCTCCTGCCCTGGTGTAAATACTTTTCAGAGGCATGAAACTCTTCAGCAACTATAGTTTCTTTGGCTCCATCATTACTTCTTTATGATCAAAATTCACATTTTAAATTAGTTCTGCTCTGCTTTTGCTCTCAGTAATCATCATAAATTTGACTAAAACCAGTGCACATGTTGCCTTGAAATTCCTTCATGAGCTCAGTTAGTCTGCAACCTTCCATTTCAGCCTTCTGTAAAGCCTCAGGACACGGACATGCGTAGCATGTTATTAACAAATGTGTAATACGCATGTTCTCTAGTCCCATTCCCAATAGAGTTCTTGTTTCTAACTGAAACCTCATGAGCTTGACTTCTGCTGTCTACATTCCTATCAGCATTCTGGCCTTCTGAGTTTTGACCAGAATCACCCAACAAGTTCTTAGACCATTCTATGGCCTCTCTAGCCTGCCTCTTCAAACTGTCTCAAACTCCTCCCACAAACCAGTTCCAAGGGCTTCCGAACCACATGGTGAGGTAAAGTCCCTACTTCTGTGGGACCAGTTTTCTGTACTGGCCCCTTCTCCCATTGCTGGGACAAAATGCCTGACATACAGCTTAAAGGAGAAAACAGGTTTATTTGGTTCATGGTTTCATTCAACCTAAGCTCAGCTGGCTCCAAATCAGAAACATCGTGTAGAAGGGCATGGTGGAACAAACTTGCTCACTTCATAGTGGCCAAGAATCAGAGCACAGGGGGAGAGCTTTCCAAGAGATGTACTCTCCAAGGCTTGGGCCCTGGTGACTCACCTCCTCCAGCTATCTCCACTCCTAACAGCACATTCAGCTACTAACATCAATGGCTTAACCCACTGATAAGTATAGGACCCTCATGGTCCTCCTCTCTCTGGGAGTCTCTTAATCCAGTTAAAGTGACCATTAAGATTAACTGGCACAAATCAACCTATAAAGATGCATCCTTAAAAAGTTTTATTGATACTAAGCATATTCAAAATGTGTGATGCTCTCCACACTAATGCTTTCGTATGGAGAAAGTAGATTTTGTAGGGCTTGGTGAGGAGCTCCTTGGAAGACATTGCTGGGGAATGCATTACTGAGGCTGTAGGAACACCAGTCAGGTGGCATTGGGTGAAGGAGTCTTGCAGAGCAGCAGTCACAATTTGGGGCTGAGGGATTTGGCTTTTGTGGACAGTGCATAAATTGGGACATTTTGTGATCTGAAGAAATGATAAGCGGGCCAGGGGAACAAATGTGGAGCCCTGGTTCAGATCCTCCTGCTGGAAGAGAAGAGCAGACTGGACTAAAGGAGCTACTAGTAAATGAGGTGAGAAACAGTGGGCTTTAAAAGGGGTAGATGTCAGCAAGGTCACTACAGCAGCGCAGTAGGAACTGTCACGCATGCATTGTCGGGCCTTGTGTTAAGGATCACCAGAGTGATAAGACCCCCAGGACTGAGCTAGGGAGAAGCATTCAGGGAGCTGGTGAGGAAGGAAGCAGGAGCCCTGCATTCCTCGGAGATGGTGCCTTGTCATATATAGCAGTCTTTCTGTGCCTTTGGGTATCAAGGGGCTCTTTCTCCCCACACTATCATTCTGAGCACCAAGATCGTGCACCAAGAGATGAAGGTGGGCTGCCCCTGGAAGGACACTGACGGCTGAGGGTGGGCGCTCAGAGGTCCTCACATTTGGCTTTCCAGCATGGATCCTGTGACATGGTTTGAGAACCATGGAGAAGCAAGTTCAAGCTTCTTGATACGGGTTTTGGAGCTCTCACTGATGCCACCTTTAATTGTTTTCATACTGCCCTGTCCTTGGCTGCTCTCCCCTTTCATCTTATGACCCAGAGTGTAGAATGGCTTCCCCTTGTGCAAAGGTGTCTTCTCACACTCTGCTCCCGCTGTCCCTCCTGCTCGGGATGCCTTTCCGCTGGATGCCTCTAGCCCAGGCTTTGGAATTCACCTGTGACTTCATCCCTGACAAGTGCTCCTGGCTCTCCTCGAGTCCTTGAGCTGCCCACTCCGCACAGTGCCTCTCTCTACTGGAATTCTTTCCGAATCTCTTGCTCTCAGTAGGCTGTGTACTCCCCAAGGGCAAGATGCTTGGTGATCTCTGAGCCCTGCATCCTGGGTCACAGCACCTGGTTTAATTGAAGTTATTGTTGAGGCTTTATCAGACATTTGTTCAGTAGTTTGAAGAATGGCAAGTAAATCTGAAGAATGGCAAGGACAGTGTGCAATAAAGAACGAAGATACACAGTGATGGACAGGATTGGGAAAGAGAGGAGCTGAGAACTAAGGGACCTGGGACAAGAAAACAAATCAGCTTTGTTTATTTTGGTATAGTCACTGAGAGTCCAAATCAGGTCTTGGACTTGTTACAGTAGGATGCATCACCGCTGGCTGCACTGGTGAGCAGTAATGAGAAGATGCTCCCCAGTGTCTGCGCACACCCACATACACACATATGCACACACATGTGTGCACACACACGCGTGCACACACACTGCTGTGGTGGAGGACCTTCCAGGAGCTTAGCTGCAAGTCTCAGGGCTCCAACCAGCACAGAGAACTTTGGAAAAGGGATCTGCTTCACTAGAACAGTTAGTTCCTGAGGACGACAATGGATTGGTTAAGGACCCTGCCAGCTATGACTGAGACTACCAGCTCGAGAAGAAACCTCTTACTGGAACTGTTTGGCCATGGTTAGGGAGGGGCCATGGAACAGGCTTTATACGATGAAAGCCAGATGGATTCCAGGCATTACTTTAAAATACGGGGCAATCTCTCCACCGCGGTATTCTCCACGTAAAAAATGAGTTGGCAGTGCACTCACTTCCCTGCTTCACAGACACATGGCAAGCGGGACCAGAGCTGGCTCTGGCTGGCTTTGTGACCTTGAGCAAATTCTTTATGTCTCTAAGCCCCAGCTTTCTTGTGCATAAAATGTGGGCAATAATCACACCCTCCCCCAGTAAGCCATGATGTAGGCCATCCGCGTAAAGTCCTTAATACAGGGCCTGCTAGTCAGCACTCAGTGCACATTTGCAAAAATCATTATCCTGCGCTATTTGGGAAAGCTTAATTGAAAACCAAAAAGGCAGCTAAACTTACCAAAGGGCAACATAGCGCAAAGCCTGCCACTCCGCGGCATCAGCCTCATGGGGGAGCTTTCAGAAATGCAGTTTGGGGCCAGAGCCCGCCCTACTGAGTATGAACCTGCACTTAGCAGGATTCCTGAGGTGGTCATGTGCCCAAGTGAAGTGCAAGACGCCCTGACCCTACATCATGGTGACTCCGGGGAGTAACAGTGCATTGGGCTGGGGGTGTAGCTCAGTGGTACAGCACTTTCCCAGCACCACAAACAAAAATATAGACAATATTTGAAAACTCTGACATACTGGATTTTAAGTGTTCTCCATACATACACAAAAAAACCAAGGGAAGTGCATGAGGCAGTACACCTGTAAAATAAATAGCTTGACTTAGCCTTTGTACAATGTGTACCTGTATCAAAATATTGTCCGTGTGGTACATCATAAATCTATACAATTCCTACATGTCAACTAAAACTTGAATTTTAAATAAGTGCTGAGAAACAAGCACAAGCATATCTACCACTTACTGATCGTGTTACTTTGGGCAAGTTGCTTACCACACTATGCTTATTTTGTTGCCTCTAGTGCCTTCGCTCAGAGGGTGGTGGGCAGCGGTGGTTAAATGCCAGAACTATGCCAAGCACCTTAGCTGAGAAGTGCTGTTTGGTGCTCACATCTGTGCTCTCAGCCCCAGTCACGGGGC